TTATTACTTTTAAGGAATTGGCGTTCTCTTTTCTTTTTTTATGAGTTTTTGATTCTTTGATTTTCCTTTTGATTCTCTTCTCTTCTTTTTTTTTCATATTTTTTCTCTTTTTAATCCTTTTCGTTTTATTACCTTTTCGTATATTTCTTATCCTTTTTCTCTCTTTTGTGTACTTCTAATGCATAATTTTACGATATTTTAGTTGTAGGGTAGGGCGTGAACAAAACATGAAGTTTCGAGAACAAAGTAAAAATATTTAAGCAATATAGAAGTCTAAAAATGCCCAGGAGAAAGATAATTGAAGATTCTTCACTATGTTTAAATTATATACATTAACTAAGCCATTAAACGAGAGGAAATAGGCGAATTTAGTCTTACTTCCTCTCGTGGTAATTCTGTAATTGATTTGATTTTGTAATCATAGGCTATTTCATGATTACAATCTTTATCCGTAATTTTTTCGTCCGATGGTTCTTTTTACTTTTTAATATTTGAAGTACAGATGGTTAGTTCGTATAATACCAGACAAGAAAGACGTTCGTATAATACCAGTTCTGATTTTAGAAAAGCTCTGTGTTTTTAATCGGATATATTTTTGTGTCTTTAAAATGACTTTTTTAAACTTTTTGGCGGCTAGTAGCCTAGAAAGGAAGGTCAGTCGCCGGAAATGTACTGTCTAGAACGCAAAAGCAAAAAATGGTGATCCCTATATGGGCGAACTTGTCTTCAAATATTAAAAAATACAATGTTTATGCTGAATGTCTGCATCAATGACAAGTAAGATCAATTACTTCTTAAGATAAGGATAGAAACAAATTAGAAAGATAATGATAAAATGATTCGATAGTGATACTAGTACGCTACTTCACAACTATCAGTTTCTAAAGAATAATATAGAAAAGATCTAATTATTACGAAATTCATGACAAAGAAAAGCAAATCTATGGTACGATAATAGAAGCATTAAATAAGTCAATTAGTGCTGGAATTTAAACGTTTATAAAAAATTTAGTAACTATCAAAATAGATTAAAATACCTTAAAACGGAAGTAAGTTGGGAGTTGTCGCCACCCTTAAAGAGGAATTGTCTTTTATCGAATACTATTAATACAGTTACAAAACATTCTATGTAAACATAATTTATATGATTTGTTCGTTTATTCAAGACTCGTATAAAAAATAGCGAATTATTCTAACATTTTACAAAAAATAATATGCAGGATGACGGTATTACCTTGCCAAAATCCGTATAATACTGCAACAAATCTTGCGTTATGCAGCCATAATTTACAGTACAGAATTATCAGAGTCGCAGTAAATTTTAGGAAAGTATTGCGACTTTTTCAATATATATTTACATTTGTTGATTTTCTTTTTGAAACCGTGTCCTGTTTTATATTTGTGGCTTAATAAACACTAGTATTGTGTTTTATTCTAAAGACACGTGGCAAATTTTCCATCAAATTCCTTTATTAGTTGATACGGTACATTGTTTTTTACTCGTTTCGGGCTTTGCCCCTCTTCAGTCAACTAAAATACAGTATATATATATATTTAACTTATAACAGTAGAGAGTTTACATAAAATAATGAGTACATAAACGATATATAGACGTACCTTTTGGTTACACTTTGTATAATTTAAAAACGTAAAATCTGCTTTAATCTTTGTATAACTAGTATATATTATAAATAAATTAAAAGGTTAAAAGTTCTAAAACCTTCTCTTATAAGCATATTTCGATACTACAAACTGTAAAAAATTTTTAACTGTTTCCTCCCCCTCTTTACCTTCCACCCCCTTTTTATTTTTTCTTATGCGCTGGTGTCTTAAGTGTTGCCATGTATGACGTTCGATAGAAAAAAAGGAAAAAAATATTATTATAAAAATATTATTTATAATATATTAATCCAGTTTTCGTTTATTTTAAGACTTAAGTTTTTATTTATACTGTCTTTACTTTTCATGATTTCTATGGTTTCTTTAAACTTTCTGTTGTACGTTAATTTTTCTTTATGCAGTATTTCTACGTTATCTTTATCTATATTACAGTTGTTTATAGTACAATGTTCGTAAAATGCAGAATTTATTCTATTGTATTTAAGATCTGCTATGTGTTCTTTCAGTCTAGTTTTTACTTTTCTTTTTGTTTCTCCTATGTAATGTTTTTTGTTTGCGCAGGTACACGGAATTTTGTATACTACACCTTGGTTTTCGATCGGTATTTGCTGGTTTTTCTTCTGGTTCGTGGTTAACAGTCTGCTTTCCATTTTTTGATATGATGGTGCTAATTTGTAGTTTATTTTTTCTATTTCTGCGCTGATTAAATTTTTGTGAAGTAAACATTAATCCGAGTAAACAAGAATAATTACGATTTTCATGCAAAGGGTGATTGATGAAATATGACAACGCAACACACGAGATTTGCCAAGGAGAGATGCCTCCCGGAAGGATTTTCTATAGAAAATTAATTCCTGTTTAGCTGTTATTCAAGTGAAAACACTGAAAAAATTATTACACGCGGTCAGACAAATTGCCGTTGTTCTCTCGTTTTATCGATTTGGCCATTATTTGGCTAATACTATGAAGGAAAATTAGATGTTAGAGAGAAAATTTTTTGTCTGGATAGAAATGAAATTAAGATAATTAACGAACATATCTTTTCAGGTGTATTGTTTACAACATATTTATTTGTAGAAGGCATTGAGAAGTAATAAATACGTCTACCTAACTGGTTACTGTACTATTTAAGGAACTTAGCGAGTTTAATGAAATCATAAGGATATACATTTGCATTGTTCGATTCAATTATAATGAATTCAGCTTTAATTAATAAAGCAATTAACTGTATAACTACAGGAGAGTTTATACAAATAAGGTCTATACTTATAAATAAAGCATTTCAGTTACCCGAATGTTGAAAATTATAACATTTTGCAGTCAGCATATCATTTTTTCCTTAATAATTTTTCTCGTCAAATATAAAACACTTACACATGGCACGAATTAACATTATCGATGTATCATTAGTCATTTTTCGCTTTCTTCCACTTTTGATAATTTGAAGTGTTATACGTTATTTTTTATTTAGAACGTAGGTAATAAAACGATTTTGAGGTAATAAGGGTTGATAATGGGCATTATTGAAAGTACAGTACATAATAATTTTAAAGCCTATTTGTAAAATGTTCACTATTTAATCAACCGAAAAATTATGTTCTTATAGTTCCTTCGCGTATAGCAACGCGACACTGCCATATACTTCCCGGATGCCTTCCGAGTGTTCTTTTTTATAGAAAACTGACCCATATTTAGGTGTTACTAACGTGAAGAAAACCCGAAAAAGTCTACGTAACAAGATTGTTGGCGAAGAGTCAACCCACGACCAACTTTATACCACCAACCACACAACCAGTGTTCACTATTTTTTCCACTCGGCCACTGGTGGGCAAAATTATCTACGCAGTGTCTATGTAATACGGTGTCTGTATCGACAACGGCGATTTTTTAAAAGAAATAGTTTAATTCAAAGAAAAAAGAAAATCGCATAGTGAAATTCAAAATGTTCGTAGTTTCACAATTAACGACCAACTCGGTGCGAAAATAACATTAACAAAATAAGATAGTTCAATGAGTTCGTATACGCTGGTCTGCTTCGTCGAGAACGGGGATTTTTCGGCATTCAAAACCTTCCGACGATTTGGTGTAATGAAGACTAGTAGCGATCTTGTGTTGGTTTCTGGATGTCATAACGTCCCTGGACGAACTTGGACGAGCTTGTCGGCATACTTGAAGATCTCTGACAAACTTGACGTCGAACTGAAGTTCCGACCCGAACTTGAATCTCCCGCTATCATATCTTCTTCTTCTGTGTTTATATGGAGAATCTAGCTCTATTTAGGTTCTTTCTCCGACGAGCAGTCACTCATTGGTGGTCACTTGAAACGTACTTGAATCGCCCGCTTCCACATCAACCTTATATAGCCGTGGACAATGGGCTGGACGACCAATCAGCGATTACCGAGCCGAAGTCCTATGCAAATATGCCGTGTGGTGTGATTCTCACCCGACCAATAAGCAGTCATGCCGGTTGCTCCTCTGTCGGAGGTCAGTGGCATGACGTAATTCTGGCTAACCGTTTCTGACGTGAGACGCATGCGCCATAAATTCAAACACAACGGTCGCCTCCTCAACGGTCCTTCATGTCCGTTACCAGTTTAAAAACGGCAAGAATCGTGTTCTTACGCGGTTCTACCTGACACCTGACACTCATCGTTCAGAAAACCGTTAACAAAATACAGGGCATCGTTGAATTCAGCTCACTATTTCATACCGCTTGTAGTTTCGGTTAAGGGAACAAAGAATTCCATCGGCTATTGATGAACGGAACCAGACATTATTCGGGACATATTGCCCATGAAAAATTCCTGTGATTTTATACTGGATTCCCAGCGGTAAGGCTGACTCTTCAACCATTTCGCTCATACGGTCGTTCCATAAAACTATTAAAACATCACTAGCAGACTATAAAAAAATTATTTTGTTCCATACAATTCTTTTCCATAAAAAAATTTAAATACACTTCAAATTGTGCAAAATAAATAAAAAAAATCATTGTTTCTGTAGACTTTTGATAAAAACAATTTTGTACAAGGTGATAAAAGATTGCAGTTTATTTTCCTGTAATTCTAAATTTCTTTTAGTTTAATTGTATTTTTTATGCTATTCAGTACAAAGTTAATTTTGTGACTGTATTCCAAGAACTCATTAGTATTACATTTCGTTTCAGGTGTAGGTATGGACGACGCTTTTGTCTTTTTAGCTGCGTGGAAAAAAACCGATCCACAGAAGAACGTGTCAGACAGACTTTCAGAAGTGTATTCGGAGTCAGCCGTTTCTGTTACTGTTACTTCTGTAACTAATTTCATAGCTTTCATTTTAGGTCTGTTCACCCCTTTCAGAGCAATATATTATTTTTGCTTATACGCATCGACTGCTGTTCTCTTCTGTTACGTTTATCAGATAACGTTCGTTGGTGCGTGCATGGCAGTCTTTGGATATGTGGAAAAGCACCAGAGACATGCTTTGTTCTTTACGAAAATAACTGCAGAGAAAGGTAAAAATTAAGTAGTGAATCTTTTGATAAAAGGATGTGAATAGAACAATTTCGGGTTCATATAATACTAAAATATTAGAATTTTTGAAAAGACGAAAATGGAATAAAACATAAAAAGTGATTTTATTTCGCATCGTTTCTATGGAAAATATTTCGAGAATTTATTTGAACGTTTTCTAACCGAGATAAGAAGATAAAAATTGTAGAATGAACAAACTTAGTTAACAAGTGTTTTGTCCATGCAAGTGAATAGTAAAAAGGTTTCAGTTTAGAACGTTATTCAATGTTTTAGATGGGTTTTAAATAATTTTGAGCGAAAATAATTAAATAAAGCTGATGAAAAAACATAGAAATCTCTATATTAAATACAAGAATATAGACAGATACTTCAATGTTGAGGTTTAAGAAATGTCTGATAATGAAGGTATTCTTTGAATAAAGTTTTGTAACTGGTTACAACTTCTAAATACAATATGTTGATAATAAAAATCAATGCATGTTAATTGAAGTTCCTTCTATAACCTAAAATACTGTTATTGTTTTCGACATTGAATTTATTTTACCTTCTTGTACACGCAAATAGTATTGCGATAATCATATCCTAAACATGTTTACTAATTTTCCTTATTTCAGGAACCAATTTTTAACTTTATTATCTAGATTTGAAAGGATTCAAATACATTTCTTAGAATAAGAATTTCTTCATAGACATAACACTAAAGAAAATCACTTATTTGAATTCGATTTTCACCGAGTCAAAAATTCGAATATTCCAGTAATACAAGCAGAACAAAGTGTGCTATTATTTATTACGATTTATTCGAATTAACTCTCACAATAGTATAAAAGTCTTTATAAAATGACGACGTTTCTCGAAAATATTATTAATTCTTTTTCATTAATTTTTAGAAAACTGCATTTGGATTCGAAAAATTTTTTTCACTACTGAACCTTGGAAATCGAATAAAGACACAAAAACCCGAACTTCATCATTTTGGATGCAACTCGGTAATATTTTATCATTGTGGTACGTCAAGATTGCAATTTTCTTCATTATGGCAGGTTACGTGACTGTTGGAGTTTGGGGAGTGACAAAAACAGATAATATAGGATCTTTTACTTATGTTTTTACGTACGATTCATATTTTCTACAATACCATAATAATATTTTTAAACATTTTAATAATTACGAAAACGGGATCCAAATCGTTGTCGATCAAGAAATAAATTATGCAGATGTGAAAATTCAGAACCAAATAGAGAATCTTTTCTCTGAAATGGAGAGAGAAGGGTTAACTGCAGATTTTCTTACCGAGTCTTGGCTCCGAAGTTTCTTGAAATTCGTCAAAGACGATTCGATGGTTTCTATTGTAAAGTCATACAATATGAGCGACACAAAAGATTTTATTGCAGTACTGCGCCGAATGTTTCTACGTCATCCCTATGCTCAACGATTTCGTAATGATATTGCATTCAACTCTGACTATACAGCTATCGTTGTAAGCAGATTCTTTTGTCAGACTAATTTCACTGTCGACGAAAAATCGTTGATCTTAACTTTACAGAGACTAAGGAAAATCTCTAATAAAATGCCATTCAGTGTGTTTCCGTATCACTTCTTAAATTATGTCGTCGATAGCACTGACTTGCATGTAAAATTTACTGTACAATTGTTGAGTAGTATTGTGATAATTGTAATTTTTGTGTGTTTCGTTTTCATGCCAGACGTCGTCGTCACGTTTTCGGTCGCTTTTTCTATTATTACTATAGAAATTTCTACCTTGGGTTACATGGCTCTGTGGGATGTGGAATTGGCTCCTGTGTCTATAATCATCTTAGTCGCGTGCGCCGGTTTTTCGGTCGATTATTCTGCTCATCTGTCTCATTCTTACAGATATTGCGACTTTGAGGATCCCAATGAACGTCTTCGTCATAGCATCGATTTAATCGGACTCGCAATATTTCAAGGTAGTGCATCAACAATAATTGCAGTGTTACCTTTAGCCATTCCTTTGGCGTATGTATTTGTCACGACTTTTAAATTAACCTTTTTGGTTATTTTATTTTCTTTCGTTACTGCTTTGATATTTTTACCGGTAATTTTATCGGCACTGTATTTCTTGGAACCGAAAATGTTTTGTAAACATAAGAAAAGAAGTGAAAATCTGGATCATCGAATTGATGGACAGATAAACGTTGGTTTTCATTCGTCAGAAGTTGCTATATAAATATCATACTTATTAGTTTGTATTGTTATATATTAAATACGATTCGTTAACGATTTGTGTAATTAATATTGTAATTAAACATTACATTTTCGTGTTTTCGAATAAATTCTTATAATTAAAAATAAATCTAATATATAATCGAGACGGGTTGATGATAATAATAATAATAAGCGCAGAGCCCAAACGGTTAGGAGTTGAAAGTCGAAATTTGGTACACAGATAGGGTACGTCACGAAAACGCACACTAAGAAGGGATGTTTCGAAATTCCCCCCCGGGGGGAGAGAGACAGGATTAAAACTTCTATATACATTATGGATACGAGCCCAAACGGTTAGGAGTTGAAAGTTGAATTTTGGTACACAGTTAGGGTACGTTAGGAGAACGCACACTAAGAAGGGATTTTTCGAAATTCCTCCCCACGGGGGAGAGGGACAGGATTAAGGGTTAACACTTCCATCAACAATGGAAGTGTTAAGTAACAATGGAAGTGCCAAGTAACAATGGAAGTGTTAAGTAACAATGGAAGTGTCAACAATGGAATTGTTAAGAGAAAGCGACGTGCGATACGCAGATGCAGTTTTTTTCGTTTTTGCGGGAAATCGAACATATTTTAGACCCATCTAAAAATTCTCTAAGGGGACCCAATTCTTGCATTCTGTGAAAACGGGTAAGGTTGACTGTAACGTAATAATCTTTATCTTAGTTATCGTTACTTTTGCCCGAGCAACGCCGGGCCCACCTGCTAGTAAATATATAAATCATCACAGATTTTAAGAATCTATATTAAGAAATTTAGTATATACAGCGATAGCTTTAACTTCGAATGCTAAATTTAAAAGAGGCTTTAGCTTCAGATTGCGAACGATACTTCAAAATTTGAACTGCACGCGCAGTGAAAAAATGTACTCGAAGCGTAAATGCAATCGCTCGAAGCTCTGGAAAATGTTTTCAGTGAATTTGGTTAAATTGTGGGTTGTTTCTCTCGATTTTTAACAATTAATTTATTCAATCCTTGTCGGCATGTTTTGTGTGTGTGCCACATAGATTTTCTACCCTTTAGCTGCAAATGTTTCGAACGGAACTTTCTAAACAGGTTTTGTATTTAACATTTTTTTACTTTTATTTTTGTGTTTTAATTAATCATTAGAGTTTTTGTTGTGTTATTTATACCTNATTTTCGTGTTTTCGAATAAATTCTTATAATTAAAAATAAATATATATATAAATCATTACAGATTTTAAGAATTTATATTAAGAAATTTAGTATATACAGCGATAGCTTTAACTTCGAATGCTAAATTTAAAAGAGGCTTTAGCTTCAGATTGCGAACGATGCTTCAAAATTTGAACTGCACGCGCAGTGAAAAAATGTACTTGAAGCGTAAATGCAATTGCTCGAAGCTCTGGAAAATGTCTTCAGTGAATTTTTCATCATACTTTTGGCAAATTTGCTTAAATTGTGGGTTGTTTCTTTCGATTTTTAACAATTAATTCCTGCATGCTTCTCGACACGTTTTGTGCGTGCCACAAACATTTTGTACCCTTTAGGTGAAAAGTTTTCGAACTGAACTTTCTAAACAGGTTTTGCATTTAACATGTTTTTACTTTTCTTTTCGTGTTTTAATTAATCATTAGAGTTTTTGTTGTGTTATTTCTACTCTAAATATATCTGTATTTGATGTTTTAAATTTATGAAAACCGAGTATTTTTCAGGGTCTGCATTAATTGTAGTGAGTTGCATGTAAAATTTAGTTTGCATTTAATTTATTTTCGTTGTTTCTATCGGAAAAAATTGATTCGGACTTCGAAGGATTTGGAGTTCGATCGGTTTGCTGGAATGAATTAAATTCGAAATACGAGTCACCACTGTATAAGATTTTTTTTACAAAATGAAAACTGTTTAAGTCTCTGGGTCTAGTATAAAACTTTCACATTGAAGAATAATAGAATACTTGAATAGATGGATTCAGTTTGGATTAATAATTATTTGCAAGAAAAGAAATCGTTACTTGTGAGGAAATTATTCATTAAATTACACTAATAACGGTAATTTTATATTTCTATTTCTTAAGCATTATTATAATTTTATTAGTCTACACTTTTTATTATCTTACTCTGTTTGTTCATCTATTGTAGGACTAGTGTATGTCTGTCCAGATAAACTTTTATAGCTCAATTTTCACCCACTTCCAAATTTCCGATTTAGTTGAAAGTTTGTGTATGTGTGGCACGATGTTGTTCATCCTCTTTGAGACTTAACTTTTTGTCGAAAGTTTCTGAAATTTTGCGGAGACGTTTTTTATTAGAGGGATTGATGCTATTATATTTTAGGAGTTAAATGTCGAGGGTGTAAGTCGAATGTATCTCCAGTAGAGTCGAACTTAATGAGATTTTACTCGTTATTAGCATTTAAAATATTTTATAAAACACACGTCTACAATGAAAATTAAGCTTTTTTCATTTTATGATAGATAATGATAAAAAGCTTTTTAATAAAATATGTTAACAGATGGCACCGATGAAATTTTAAACGTTATCGGGAAAGTTGAGCAACTCTTTGCTGGTTTTTATAAATAGTGTCAAATATTTGGCTGTTTTATAATAGACGTGTAAAATGAAATATTTACTTAATTCTTATTGATGTATGCATGTCTTCGTACGATATTTTGTATAGACAATCGGATGGTTTACATTATTAATTAAGGAATCAGCCTACTACTTTTGTGGACTCGGGTTCGCATGTGGAAAGCAACTTTATTAATTTTTAATGGATGGTCTGTAATGGATATGTTGACCCCGTCCCTAAACACCCGGCCGTAACACTGGAACCCACAATGGGTATGATTTAAAATTCTAAGGCCTACAGGACAGAAACAGTCAGAAATGAAAAAAAAACAATTCTTTCAGGTGTCTTTAAGTTACTCTCAGCCACTTGAGATCAGTGGACAAAATGCAATATTATTCTAATAAAAAATAATATATGACAAAGGTTAATATTCTTATATATTTTTTTATGAAAATCAAAATTGAAAATTTTAAGTCTTTTATATGTTTAATAAAAAAAAACTATATTATTAACTCTATATTTGACTTTTCTTTATATCCTGTTGTTAATTTATTTTTCATATTATATTAATATAGAACGATAACCGCGAATTAAATCTAGTTTTAGTATTCAAACTGCAAGCTACCAATATTGCTAAAACTCATAATACAAATAACTAAACAACCAGCAATACAAATACTTACTTGAAAAGCAAATATTTCCATTCATTTATAAAGGACATCTTACATTCGTATAGACAATATTCGAAGAGAAACTTTGTTAATACAATCAAACCTCTGAACAATGGACATTGATAGGAATGTATTATATATGTAAATATTCCTATGGTTGCGGACGATGTCACAATAAATAATTGCTCATATATATATATATATATATATGGCGCGCAATTTTTAATGATATTTTTAATTAATTTAATTTTAAATATATGCTCTCCACCTCAAATTAGAACTGGCTTGCCCCTGTACAGCGTACTTTTCCATTAACAAAATATATAACATCGTAGACCAGTGTTTTCAACATGTGGGTCGCGACCCCCAGAGGGGTCGCAAAGCCTTACACGGGGGGTCGCGGGTAAAAAAATAGACAAGTGTTTGTAGGTCCTACACTACAATAAAAAAACCTACAATTTCGTTGAGAAGGCTGGGCCTGTTTATTTTACAGTACAACTGATTTTTCGATCGATATTTAGGTCTCAACAGAAAGAAAATTAAATACGTAGTTTTTAAAATCACTGATATAGTTTTAATGTTGCCCTGCGGGGTGGCCAAAATTTTTTAACTTGTAAAGGGGTCGCGTATTCAAGAAGGTTGAAAAACACTGTCGTAGACTATCACCCATCTAACACCTTTAGAGGTAGAATTGAAATAACGTGTCTTATGGCTTACCCAGAAAGTTTGTAATCGAGACCTGTCGCAGCTAGTAATTTTTTCTGTCGTTACCGCTTTTATCTTTCTAACTCCATTCTCGAAATTAAATAAATAAGGTCGGACAAATGCACAGATGGACACGAGTGGGAGTTTATAGGTCTAAAATTTTTATTTTAATTTCAACCCAATAGTTTATATATTTAAAAGAGGACATTGCGTCCTCTATCGAAGCCTCGACTGTACTTTTGAAACATCTCAGAAAATATAAAATTAATAGTGGTTTTTTTCATCTATGTAGAACTTTTCAGATATATATTAGAGTACACAGTTTCGAAGAAGATAATGCATTAATGGAAAACATTTCAAGCTACTTATTAAACAAAATCAACTAATCACACTCAGGTTTTTATAATAATGAATTATCAAACCAGCTTCTGTTGCTGAGAAACGTTTTATTAAACAAAAACAATCGTTTCAATCTAATGCAATTGGTAATCTTTAGATTTAGCGAGCGCCTTTTCAACATGAAAAATTTTAACGAAGGAACGTTCGAACTCTCATATTTAAATTTAAATCAGAGAAATTTAACTATCTCACCCATAGGCCTATACTCGTTCTAACTGGTGTAAATAAATAAGACTGTTATAACAACATAGAATTATATTTGAACTTAGTCGACGAATCAAGAGAAAACAACCAATGAGAAACCGATGTGAATAATTGATTCTGGATCATAAATAGGCATGCAAATCTGTGTGAAGGTGTCGGAAGAAATACTTGTTACCACTTCCGATAGCGATAGGGAAAATATTAGCGAATTTATCGTTGAGGACAGCGAATTTTTACGAAAAACGTCGTCGAATTAATCTAGTTCTACTTTTTTGAACGAGTTTGTTCTAAAACATAATTTTTTTCTCAAACATCTTAAAAGGAACGGGGAAGGATACGTAAGCATAAAGCTGATGAATTCTTGCAGAAAAGTG